GTTCGAAAGGGTGATTGGGTATGATTTTTCATGATTGATGTATTTGGATGTACAAGTGGGAAAATATATATCCCCTTGTGATATTATGATGTTTAAGGAGGATGACTTGCACGAGGGTTTATCCCGAGGAAGTGCAATTATACGACTCCTAATTTACCTATGTTGAGCCAGTTGTGGCCAGGTCAAGTACATGAGCAAGTAATGAATTATGATTAAGCAAGATGAGATATGAATCATGTATAAGGATACCAAATATGAGTGTTGTGGTCTCACGGTCAACTACATAGTAATTAGGGCTCCCTATGCTATTACTCTATTATGATATGTATGATAGTCACACCTCTCATGTGGTGGTGACTGAAGAATTCTTATGAGATATGACCACACCCAGAGCGGTGTCGGGGTATGACTACACCCATAGTGGTGTGGGGTATGTATGACCACATCCGACGGGATGTTGGGGTATGTATGACCACATCCGACGGGATGTTGGGGTATGTATGACTACATCCGACGGGATGTGGGGTATGTTTCCCGGGAGAGTAATTAGCATGGGAGTAGCCAGGCGCCTATGATTAAAACATGATAAGACGCATATGCATAAGTCAAGGTGGTTGAGTCTTTTGCCTATTGGGATGTCGGATGCCTGAGGTCTGATCCTAGTGCTTTGGCTTGTTTGCTAGATGTATGGTAGGGGTATGCTCTGTTATGAACTCACGATGCTATGATTATCTCACTCAGCTATGAGCTGACCCTCTTTTATTCTTCTTCTCTGCTTATGCTATGTGTAAGCAGATCATCAGCAGCAGCAGTAGATAAGTGTTAGGTGGGAGAGGAGCTAGAGTTGAAGCCAGGATGAGGTATGGTCTTCAACTATTCTGTGCTTGGACTACTACTCGGGATTTTGGCCAGTGATCCACACCTTTTTGTAAAATGTTTTGAGAACGTTTTTCATGTGCATACTAGCTTCAGATGTAGGGTGAGATATCCACAGGTGTGATGATATGTGTATATTTGTGTAATTATGTAAGTTGTGACGATTATGGCATGTATCAATATAGTATGCAGTTGTGTAACATGAAACTGTGACTATGGCTATGAAAAGCCAATGCATATGGAAGTGAGTGTATATGTTTGTCTATGAATGCATGGATTTAGATGAATTATTTTGCAGGATCAGATGGAAGAACTGTTAGCCCATTACGCGAGTAATTCATGTTGAAATTTTATTTGGGTAAATTTTGATAATTAATGTAACACCCGAGATTATTTCCGCTGCAATTGTATGAACAATATGATTAGGTAATACGTATAGGGTAGGGTGTTACACGTACAGAATGGCCTCCAAGTCGAAGTTCAGCGGCTCCGCAAGGAGGTGCAGCAGGGTATAGAGCGCATGGGCGACGAGATACGGAAGGAGTGGCGACGAGGCCTCGAACAGGTGGGGAACTCACTGCAAAAGGATCAGCAGGCGTTCCTACGACGGATCGAGGAACTTCTTGTACGCAGGTACGGATGGGCTGGACAGGGGAGTAGCGAGGGTAGCGAACCAAACTCAGAATCGTACGACGGTGACGATTTGAGTGATGAAAACAGCGGAGGAGAGATGGGGATGTGCACGGTGGAGATAACGCCGAACTGCCGGTTCGAACAGCTGGCACTACCGGCAACGGGAGCGGCGCGACGAAAACTCGTCGTCGAAGAAGGTGGGGAACGAGTCGGTCAGCTAGGGTTCGGCATGGGGGAATCAGCTCCCTTGCGTCCTGATTTCGGGTTCCGATTCGATGGAGGGTTGGGTCGCGATCAACAGGCCAGACATGGCGCACATTGAAACGGAATCGGGGTACGTATAGGAGGACTCACGCATGGGCTCTTATACGAAGTGGGCTCGAGCGTGGGTCTCGGGGTGGAAGAGCGTTGGTCGAGTGGGCCAACAGGGTCGGAAGAAAATAGTAGTGGTGTTGCCGAGAGTTTCGGAGTCGGCGCGGTTCAAGTTCACGAGACGGGGGGAGCTGGGAAACTCGGGCGATTGATAGAGGAAGGGAGCCGAGAGGGATCAGGGGTTTTGGACAAACTCCTAGCTCGAGCTGCTCCTGAAAGGAGGGAGCTAAAGTGCGTTGCTATTTGGGATGGATTGGGTCGAATATGGAGGAAATGGCATGAGAGCCAATTTTGCATTGGTACGCCCATTTCTTATACTCACGTACTTAGCATGGATGGAGGCATGTATGGAGAACTTTATTCCATGCATGAGAAGTTGTTTTTGAAGAAAGGAAGTGGGGAGTTGGGCAATATTTGGCCACTGTGTGGGAGGACGGTCATCTCAAGCAAAGGAAAGTTCGAGTGGTGCGCTAAGAAGGGCTCAACGGTGTTTGGAGAGTCTAGTGGTAAAGGGTTGGTTCGGGTGCCCGAGTGTAATTGGAAGTTCCGTAAACGAGGGCGGCATCAACGAACATCCGTTTTATTTGCTATCGTCAACAACTTTTTTGTCGATCCGGGTTGAGATTACGCTTGACCTTCGGGGACGAAGTTCTTCGAAGGGGGGAGGATTGACGCATTATCATTCTTGACGGCCAACTATCATTATTATTATTATTATTATTAGTTTATGAGTCGGTTTTAGTTATTGTTTAGGAATCATATTAATTATTAAAGTATTTAAGGTAGTTTCTTTAGGATTAAGTTACCGTATCCTTGTAGGATTGGTAAGTGATTAGGTTTTCCAGTTCAACTATAAATATGTACTTTGTTTCTACATTTTAATCAATCAAAGAAGAATAAATCAGTATTTCAGTTTATTTTAGTTTTAGTTCGTACGATTACGCGATGGATGAACCGATCGTCCATCAGCAAGCAACAACTCCTATTAGCAAAGACTCATTTACCAGATTGACTTAAACAATACGCCGTAGATCCTATACAAGCCAAATATCGATGAAAGAGTCTATTCTATCCAAGGTTCAGGAAAGCGTAATCTTGGGACGCATACGCGTGTCTAGGTGTTAGGCAACATCAAAACGACTCGTCTAGGCTCTAAGTAGACAATTTGACGCTCATAAAGCCTATGCGACTATTATACAAAGCTATACACGATTAATTGGTGTGAGATGTGATTAATCAAAGTGAGACACGCTTAAGCGTGCTAAGAAACTAAAAATTAAGAAAAATTGTGGTCAATCTTCCCGAAATGACTTCTTCAGTTTTTCTCTAGCTCTAGTTGACCCAACCCGCTGCCCTACTCTTCAGTCTTCACATTACAATTCTAGAAAATCATGACATATTTTGCTTGCTGTTGAGGGCTAGATAACTAAAAGTAAAAATAGTGTTATAAAATTGTTATTTCAACTAAATTCGCTAATTTCACTTAAACGCTTAGGCATGGTAGGCGTTATGCAGGGTCCCAACGCCTGACTAGCGCTTAGTGCCTTCTTGAACCTTGGTTCTACTACTACGTAGATAATTTTGTTGACATTTGCTCGAGAGTGATAAGCTTTCTTCCAGTGGCGGATCTAGGTGAGGCTTCTCCAAACCACGACCCAACCCTCTTCTGGGTCCAGAGCTAATATAGTACTTATAAATTTTTTTCTTTGAGTTATTCGGCCCAATGCTATTTAAAAGTAGATCCAGTGTTATTTGATAATAATATTTTGGTCAACTAGAAATTGGTCCATATGAACATATCCAAACCCACTACTCTAATTTTGGTCTAGAAATTCTAGCCTCAATTATTTTCATTTGAAAACAAAAACAGTGAAACCTAAAGAGACTAGAAATATAAAGTTTTATTGACGTAAAAAAACCTCTAAATTAAAGCTCATCATTCCCTACCAAAACTAAAAAACCCTCCAAATACCCCTAAACAAAATAAGAACGAGGAGACGAACGAACTCGAAATGAATTCCTTCATCAGCCATCATGCGTTGGTTTTCTTTCCATTCTTTTGGTGAAGATAATATTTACAAACTTGATGGATCAATCTAGAAATGAGTCAATTTGATCAATTGTCTCGTTTTATAAACGAGACAATTAAAATGAGTCAATTCAAATTACCTGCCCCCATCCCAGGTAATTGAAATTGACTCAAAACGGATCAATTCAAAATACTTCAGGCAGATTGATCCATCCAAATTTTTTGCTGGCAAATGAGGCAATTTGGTACAATTGTCTCAAAAAGAGACAATTGTGTCAAATTGATCCGTTACAATTCCTCATCCAAACGACCCTAAGTCATCATTTAGATTGCTTTAGTTGAGTGGTGCTCTAGATCCTCGGGATATGTGCTGGTTTCTATCATACCTTGGGTAAAATATATGGTACGCCATATCCAAGTAAAAAAAATGCTTTCTAGACATTGAATTAACCGGATTTTTGGGCATGATACTATACGCTAACCCTTTATGAGTAAAGCTAGGGTGCCTTGCATCCATTATAAAAAAAATCCGTAATGAGTGAACCCTAAGTCTTAGTTATCTAAATAATAGAGTTTAACATCTAAGATTGTGCATGTAATTTATTGTATATATTTCGACGAATCATGACCGTCAAATTTTTTTTTTGTTTTTAATCAAATTGGTCAATTTTTTTTTTGTTTTTAATCAAATTGATCTTTAGTGTAGGATATTTATAGAATCAAGACCTAAATTTTAATCTATAAAAATTTGGGAATAGTACTAGATACTAAATTCCGATCAATTCAAGATTTATATATCATTTTATTACTCAAAGTATACTCTTACTTTTACTTTTACCAACCACCCATATATATTTGGAAAGGAGGAATGATATTTGTTGTTTGTATTTTGAAAGTGGAGCATCAATACTTTGAATTTTTTTTATTTATAATTGTCAATACTTTGAATTTTTTTATATTTATAATTGTCAATACTTTGATTAGATTTCGTAGTAATTTGGAATAACACGTATCGACCTCTGTTTTTGGTTTCTGTTGGTTATTTAGTATTTTTTTTTTTCGTTGAATATACTATTTACTTATTTCGTACTTTACCATTCGTTGACACGAGGAAATGGTGTCACACTTCGATTTCTCAAAAGCGAAAACAAACTCTGAACTCTCCCCCAACTGTACGGCCTTTCAGAGGCCCATCACCATCTACCTCCCTTTCTCCGTCTCCTTCTCTCCTTCCTCAACTTCCCTTCTTCAGCTCTTCTTCTCTTCTGCTCTGTTCTACTTGGACATTTCCTCCTTAATCCCTCCGCTGCACGTCCAGCCGCAGCATTATCCGGCGGGCGGAGTCAACAAAGATCGACCAATACCAAAATAGACGGCGCGGAGACTCGCTGTGATCTCCGTGTCCCATGGAGTCTCTCTCCCGTGCTTCCATTACTAACCCCGGGACCCTGTCTCCCTCCTCCTCTTCCGCCTCTTATTTTCTGTTTCCTCGACGTTTCCGCCGTTCCAATGGTTTCTCCTCGTCCTCGGCTTTCGGGAATCTCCGCAGAATTGTGAGCAGGTGCCGAGTTCGTGCTGAGATTGAGAAGCCGAATGCTCCGGTGATCGATTTTAGTGATCCAGAGTGGAGGATCAAGTATCAGAAGGATTTTGAGCGCCGTTTCAATATTCCGCACATCACTGATGTCTTCCCCGACGCCAAGCCGATTCCTTCAACGTTTTGTCTGCGAATGAGGTAGGCAGTCAGCCTTGATTACTCGCATTTCTCTGGTTCCATTTGAATTCTGCTGTAAACTTGAAACTTGGTAGAGTAAGTTCGTTTTCTGCAATTTTTTTGCGATTCGAAATCGAAACCAGTGTTAGGTGAAGCTGAGAATCTATTCTTTTGTTTGATTTCGGGTTTTATATATTTTGGTTCCGCTAGGCATCTCTTGGAATTGCATATTCAATTGCTGAACAGCTCCAGTGTTATGCCTTAAGAGTTGGTTGACTTTGTTTTGGGCGGTCATTTTACAGGACTCCAGTGTCTGAGGATTTCGCCGGCGGTTATCCTTCTGATGAGGAGTGGCATGGTTACATCAATAATAACGATAGGGTCCTTCTCAAGGTACTTAAACCCTTGATCGCCTCGTAGTGAACTCTCTGTAACTACATGTTATTTGATAATTGCCTTGCTATGGATTTAGGGAGATGAGAGTTTTCGTATTGCATTTGTAGTTTTTTAGTAACTGTAGGTGCTGTACATAATTGTGGAAGCACGTTGTGGTGTTTGGGGTATTCTCATATACATTTGTGTAGTCAGCATTACAAATTAGAACATGGAGAGGACGATATGGACACCCCTGTGGTTCAAACTGAAATAGTTTTGGAGTTCACTTCTTCATTGTCTTGTTCGATGGCTGTTTTGTAAACTGGTACCAATCTTTTTTATTAGACATCGAACATGTAAATCAACAGAAATGGCTAACTCAGAAATCAAAATCTTCATTGAAAGACTGTAGCATTGTCGGTGTACATCTTTTTCAAATTAATAGCCTCTCTGGTAGCTTATTGATGTTTCTCTGTAATATATTTCAGACCATAAATTTCGCATCTCCCAACTCAGCTGGAGCAGTGTGCATTGACCCTGACTGTACCTGGGTTGAACAATGGTATTTTGCTTCTTGACTCCATTACTCATCATGTATTTTCAGGTTGATGACAATGCATAAGCTCCAAACCAGACCAGCTACTACTATATGTTCCAACAGAAGATATAGCTTATTAATTCTAAAGAATACTAAATGAGAGACACTTCTCTGCCTCAAATAAGAAGTGTCTTGTGAATCTTCAGTTTTGTCTTTCATGAATCCATTTATTTGGCTTGAATGAGAAAGCTTTTCAATAGGATACACCATGCTTTTCCCTTAGGTTTAATGTCAGTTTATTGTCGTTAGTTTGCTAGTTTCTTCTCAGTTGGATACTTAATACTTTCCCTGTCTTCTTTTCTTTTCCAATTGAGTGACAATGATTCCTGAACTTGTTAGGGTTCACCGTGCTGGACCTCGGGAGAAGATTTACTTCAAACCTGAGGAAGTTAAGGCTGCTATTGTTACTTGTGGTGGATTGTGTCCTGGCCTCAATGACGTCATCAGACAGGTCTGCATCATTTAGATATGTCTTCTCTATAGGAACTGTGCAAATGCTTATTCTTATGGTCTTAGAATTATCACAGGTGGGACATATGCTCATTGTTGAAACCATCTAAGAATTGTGATACATAAAAACTTAAGGTTGGTTACTCTTTTGCTTACTTTTGGCAGGTTGTCATCACACTTGAAATATATGGTGTCAAAAGTATTGTGGGGATTCCTTTTGGTTATCGTGGATTTTCTAACAGTGACTTGAGTGAAATGCCAGTAAGTTTCATTTCATTCTGGCAATTTTGGCTGTTTGACTTGGTACATAATGGATCTGGAGATGCTTCTCTTTCATTTTTTGTCAATTCTCAGGCCCAATATTTTCCTTTGATTATCAGCTATCAAGGAAAGTGGTTCAGAATATCCATCTTTCTGGTGGAAGTTTGTTGGGAGTTTCACGTGGAGGCCCCAGTGTCAGTGACATTGTTGATAGGATGCAGGTAGTAAACTTTCTTTTTGGATTAGGAAGCATTTTGTTCCTTTGTCTTGATCTGAATACTAACTTTAAAGGTTGAGCATGGCCTTATTCTACATTCTTTGCCTTGATGCTATTAGGAAAAGGGAATCAACATGATTTTTGTACTAGGTGGGAATGGTACACATGCTGGGGCGAACGCCATACACGAAGAGGTTTATAAGCTTACATCTTATTGGTTTCCTGCACTACTATATCTTTTTATCTGCTTTAGTTGAGTGCTGGTTATATGGCTTACGAGCTAGTTCAACCTAGCTTCTCCTTTCTGAATCCTCTTATAGAAGGATACTCTTGAGGAACTGTTATGCCATAATGGTACCTGGGATCGAGCATAAAAGGTTGGCCAATAGATATCTAGTCTAAGTACCAGGAACAGACTTTTTCCAGAATTGCTAGAAAATGTAATTGAATTTACGATGTAAACTAGTGCATCTGAACTATATGTATTGGTTCTAATTTTCCTATGACATTATATTCTCAGGCAGACTTAAACTCAGAACATTGAAGTAATTGTAATAGGTGTGTGATGTTAGAAGTGGTCATCTTAGAACTGCAATTTGGTACTTCTAGCTTTCTTCCTTTTACAAGCTCCAGCATATTATTCCCAGGCAGATCAGAACATTGAAGTAATCTTAATAGGTGCCTGTTACTAAAATTGATAGCATGGCATTTCGGTATTTCTAACTTTCTTCTTGGTACAAGCTCCAAAGTATTATAATTTATAACTTCTAAATTCCTGTTTTCAGTGCCGTAAAAGAAAGCTGAAGGTAGCTGTAGTTGGGGTACCAAAGACCATAGATAATGACATTTTATTGATGGATAAAACTTTCGGTTTCGATACTGCTGTAGAAGAAGCACAAAGAGCAATAAATTCTGCTTATATTGAGGTAATCAAACTCAGTCTATTCATTTCTGCTTCTGGTTGGTTAAACTTTAATGCTCTGCCTTTTCCTTACGGACTCCTCTGTCTGACATTTATACATATCTTCTTGCATCGTCATTCACTCCAGGCTCACAGTGCCTATCATGGAGTTGGAATCGTGAAATTAATGGGACGTCACAGTGGTTTTATAGCCATGCATGCATCCCTTGCTAGTGGACAGATTGATATTTGCTTGATCCCAGAGGTATGTGCCTCTTGTCACAAGTCTATAGCCATATCTACCTTGTGTGTGCATAAATTTAACTGATATGTGGTCTTGCAAAAAGGTACCGTTTCAATTACATGGACCTCATGGTGTCTTGACGCATCTCAAATACTTGATTGAGACAAAGGGATCCGCTGTGGTCTGTGTGGCCGAAGGAGCTGGACAGGTGATTCTTACTACAAATTTCTGTGTGCCTTCTAGAGGTTTCAATGCCCTGAGCAGTCTATTTCCTTTCAAAAAATAAAAAAAAGAGCAGTCGATTTCAGGAGCTTTCTGTGTCAGTTACCTTGCCATTTCGATCTGCCCTTTTTTGTCTGTCTAATGGCGGAAGGGCTATTTACAGTTGTAAAGAGATGCTTAATAGGTCTTGTTGCACAGTTGTTTTGTACAAACTTCAGTTTGGGCATGTGATGTTCTTGGGAACAGAGAGGTTTAAGTGAGGATTTCTTAGCAAGAATAACTTAGCCAGCTATTTCCTTCGCTTTGACTATACTTTTGGTTGCCGCTTTGTCCAGAACTTGCTTCAGAAAACCAACGCCACGGATGCATCTGGAAACATGGTACTTGGTGACATTGGCGTACATATCCAACAAGAGGTCAGTTGTTATTAGTTTTTTTTTTCCTTAAGCATGCATTGGCTTAATCTCAGGAGAGATTTTCCAGAGTTAAACATGCGCGAAGAAACTGGTCTTACCTTACTTCCTTACTGCTGTTTCAGACGAAGAAGTACTTTCGGGAGATTGGCGTCCATGCTGATGTCAAGTACATCGATCCAACATATATGATTCGTGCATGCCGTGCAAATGCGTCAGATGGGATTCTATGCGCTGTTCTTGGGCAAAATGCTGTAAGCTTTCCCCTGATTCCCCTTCCTCCCCTGAAACTATTTCAAATCATTATCATCAATTGTCGAAGATGTCCAACAACGAATGTTATCTCACAATGACCACAATCACATTTAATTTTGCTTGCGACTGACTAATTAGTAATTAGCTGCAACACACTGCAAAGAAGAGCAATGGCAGCGCAAGAAATACCTGTGACAGGGCTGAAACAACTGCAATCAGCACTCCTCGTCGCTTCCACTTGATCTCTTAGATGCACTGTTCTTCTGTGGCAGGTCCATGGCGCATTTGCAGGATACAGCGGGATCACAGTGGGGATATGCAACACCCATTACGTCTACTTCCCGATTCCTGAAGTCATCGCTTACCCGAGACCCGTAGATCCCAACAGCCGCATGTGGCATCGTTGTTTGACCTCCACAGGGCAGCCCGACTTCATCTAATCTTTAGCTTGGAACTTCCATTCTGGACCTCTAGAACCATATCCAGGTTTATCTAAATACTAGGCCTGGTGAAAAATGACAGCCAGGTAAAACAATGATTTTATCTCCCCCACCATTTGTTCGTTGTATAGCAATTTGGTGCCTAGTTTATTCTTTCCCTTCTCCGCGGAGTCGTAGAGGCACCACCGGTGTTTGAATAAAGCTGTATTTATAGGAGTCGCACAGTCGGAGGATGGTGTGCTTGATTCCATGATTTTTGTAGTTAAGCCACAAGGGCTGAAAATGGCTGGTTCTTTCCTTATGTGACAGACAGATAAGAGAGACCCAACGAGAAATTGTTGCCTGTTGGCGTTCTTTATTTCGCTACGTTAGAATTTGGTCATCGAAGTTTGCCCAATATGGAATAAAATTGAACATTGTTTGTTAGTAATTTATCTTTGCCTTCTAGATTTAATTGAGCAGTGTAGTCGTCAAAATCATGATTCTAAATAGAAGCGTTTTGATGATCTAAAAGTATAAAAACATAAGATTTTAAATTTTAAAGTGTAGATTTTAACTACAACTAGATAATTGGCTTGCTTTTTGCAGCGGATGTGTTGAATATCTAATTGAATTATATTAAATTTAATTAAGTTAAATTGATTTATTTTATTGTAGAATAATTTCGAATGTTAAAATCAGTACTTTTTTACTATGATTTTGTAAATGTTCTTGGAAAACAGATATCACTTCATCCTGTCAGAGTTCTTTGAGATTTTTTTAAAGGATTCATCATCTGTTTCTTTATTTGATGTATTTCAATAATTCAAATAAGATCATCTAATACTAGAAAGAGTCCATAGTTTACATTTTGTTTCCATTGTATCCTCAATTTTTGAAATGCCATTTGTATTCTAAATTTTGACTTTCCTAATTAACTAAGAGATTTAGTGGTCAACAATCACTATGTCTCTCCATTGATCTTTAAAGGAAAATATTTGAAGTGAGCTCCAGTTTCTAAATTTTTCACACAAATGAATTGTATTAATTTATGAAATATTGCACATTTCAGAATTTTGGTTTAAAATTAATAGTTTGGTTCCTTGAGAATTATCCTTATATTTACTTTTTATTTAAGAATAAAGGTTTTGCCATCATTTTAAATCTAAATGTTTTGACGGATGTTTGATAAATTAGCATAATTATATATGCGAATTTTTTTTTTGTGACGGTGATAGGAAAATATTTGAAGTGAGCTCCAGTTTCTAAATTTTTCACACAAATGAATTGTATTAATTTATGAAATATAGCACATTTCAATATTTTGGTTTAAAATAAATAGTTTGGTTCCTTGAGAATTATCCTTATATTTACTTTTTATTTCGGAATAAAGGTTTTGCCATCATTTTAAATCTAAATGTTTTGACGGATGTTTGATAAATTAGCATAATTAAATATTCGATTTTTTTTGTGATGGTGATAGGAAAATATTTGAAGTGAGCTCCAGTTTCTAAATTTTTCACACAAATGAATTGTATTAATTTATGAAATATTTCACATTTCAATATTTTGGTTTAAAATAAATAGTTTGGTTCCTTGAGAATTATCCTTATATTTACTTTTTATTTCGGAATAAAGGTTTTGCCATCATTTTAAATCTAAATGTTTTGACGGATATTTGATAAATTAGCATAATTAAATATGTGATTTTTTTTTGTGACGGTGATAGTAAAAATGTCAAAATAATCAATTGAAATAATTCCTTTGAAAACCTACGATTCATAAATAATTTGAGTTGTTAGAAACTAAGATTCGGATGAGGCATGACTGTGACAATTTTGTGGTATGAGGATTAGATAATTATGTTTCAATTGTCAGAATCATGCACAATTCTTTGGTTATCCATGTTGATTGTAAGTATTTTATATGTAGGGAAGCAACTTATAAACGCCTAGAAGTTGTTGCAATATACGGTGTGCAATTGAATAGATTAAATAAAATAAATGATAAAACAGCCGAAAGAAACCATCAGGGACGACAGGTGGCACTTCCAAAGGTTAATAGGTGTCATTGTTGAGAAATGTGAATAGTTTGTAAAAACTAAAGGAAAGTCCTTGGAAAAGGTAAGTGAAGTTAATTCGGAATAATTCTCTGTATTGAAGGAAACGTTTCTTCAATCAGAATTAATTGACCGAATTAATGGAAAGTTCAATCAATTGGATTGGTTTTCTATATTGAAGGAATCTTTCATGATCAGATCAATTACCCATACTAACGGAAAGTTTCTATCAATTGGATTGATTTCTGGTATTAAAGGAAACTTTTATCAATTGGGTTAATTGTCTGCATTAAAGAAAGGTCTAATCATGAGTTATTACTCTTGATTTCCTTCCTTAAGAAGATTCTCAAATCCTCCACCAAGAGGGGAAGGCTGAAGGTCTCATCCAATATAAATAGATGAGTTGCCTAACCCTAAAAGGTATAACAACGAGCATGAACACAATAGAGAGAGTGTTCAGAGAACTCGGGTTTTCGCACAAAACCGCGAGTATTGAGAGGAGCTGTTTTTATCCTGGAGACGACCGGTTGATAGTCTGCCGTGCGCATCGAGGGCAGTGCCGCGAACGTCTTAAAGAGAGCGACCAAGTCCGCGACTCAGCTCCAGATTCGGTAAACCTTGTTCCTTGTTGTTGTTCTGTTCTTAACAATTTTAAGACGTTCGGCTGCTGCTATGTCGACTGAACAAAACAACATGGCCGGATCTGGTGCTGTCGATATCAATCGACCCTTTCGCTTCATTGTAGTCAACTTCCGTCGCTGGAGACAAAAGATGGAGTTCTACCTGACGACCAAGAAGTTGGCACACTGCCTCACCAGAATGCCCGTCGAGCTATCGGAAGAAGCGACTGATGAGGAGATGGCTGCTTCTGCCAAGGAAAGGGAGCATGACTTCCTGTGCAAGAACTACATCCTCAACGGCCTGGAAGACGATCTCTACGACTACTATGCGGACAGCAAAAACACCGCTATGATGATCTGGGATGCGCTCCAAAAGAAGTACGACACGGAGGAGGCTGGAGCTCAGAAGTATGTTGTCAGCCGCTACCTGCGCTACCAGATGGTGGATGACAAGTCCGTCGAAGTTCAGTCCCACGAACTTCAGAAAATAGCTCATGAGATAGTCTCTGAAGGTATGCCTCTGGACGATCAATTTCAAGTTGCTTGCATTATTGATAAGCTGCCCCCTTCGTGGAAAGATTTTAAGAATATGCTTAGACATAAAACCAAAGAATTTTCACTGAAAAGTGACACGCCAAAACACAACACCAAACTACGACCAAGTGTAATCGCAGTCCGGGAATGCAGTAACATGCAAGTTCTATTATCAACCCGGGGTCTAGGTCTACTACTTACTCCATGATTCTCTATTATCTAGCAAACTAATTCGAGTGATTGTTGATTAAAGCAAAAGTAGTAAAAAAGCAGTAAATTGTTCGGTTTTCAAAGTCAGGAAAGAGTCACTCGAGATTGAGTCCCCCTAGCCCCTTAGTTAGGTTCGATTGTAATTCCCCTGGGTTGATTCACTGTTGATTAGACTGCGGAAGTTCCGACAGTAGCTTGGAATCTCTTAAGCTGACCAAGCCCTCTCAGTCTAACTACCCGGCAGACGACTAGTCTTCACCGGGATAGAAAGCTGAGGCTATGAACACAGAACTCCACTACTGGAATTGAATTCCAGTACAAAGCAGTAAACTGGCTAACTCTCGTATAGCCAATCTCCTACTATTGAATGAAGAGGCTCTAACAACCTAATCAGATTCTATCTATCTCAGGTTGCAGCAGAGATTGAGAAAAGCTGATCAGACTCCGATCAATTCAATAAACATGCATCATTCGATTAAAATCAAACAGTAATATCATCCCAAGTCATTACAATCAAATCCCTAACACAAGGAACTAGGGTTCTTCATACCCAAGTGAGAGAAGGGTTCTACTCCATAGAGAGAGAAGAGAAAACAGTAATCGGATTAGTCATACTCATAATGATGAGGAAAATCTGCTCCGGGATGATGATTTCCACTCCTATAACGATCTCCAAGCTTGATTCGACGAAACCCAGCTCCAAGATAGCTTATAGGATGTGTTCTTCGCACTTTCTCTCTCTAGGGCTCTGTTTTTGCTCTGAAAACACGATTCTCCCACTTTTGGCTCGGAATTGGCTCTAAAACCAGACTTTCCCGACTCGCACGGGCAGGCCACACGGCCGTGTGACTCACCCACTTGGCCGTGCGGCTCAAAACACAGCGTATGGATTAGTCGACCTTCAGCCCTCTCACACGGCCAGGGTTGCACTTTGCACGGCCGTGTGATCTTCATGGGTTGCCCGTGCGGGGCCTCGGCAAATATCACACGGCCAGGGTGCTTATTGGCACGGCCGTGTGAAGTTTGCTTGTGCCCGTGTTTGCTCTCGCACAATCCCACACGGCCTGGCTTGGCCTTTGCACGGCCGTGTGATGCCACGGTCTGCCCATGCAGCTTCCTTGACACCTCGCCGCGCGTCCGATCTTCGTTCAATCGACCCCAGACTCGCTCCTAAGCCTCCATTCACGTACTAGGACCTGAAATATCACAAACAAGCACAACCTAGCGTGAAATCGGCCTAAAACACGAGAATCAACACCTCAAACGGTGTAAGAACGGGGGTAAAAACATGTGTAAATGACGGTCTATCAAACTCCCCCACACTTAACCGTTTGCTTGTCCCCAAGCAAACCAAGTCAGACACCAGGTAAGCTTTCATATTTCAATCAACCAACATTGGGGACAAGTCATAAAGGCACAGAACACGTGAACCGTACTGGTTTTCAAACATCAATACATGAACAACCTCAATAACAACCTGGACAACCACCACAAAGGACATTCGAGTGCAGCAAAATCGAGTAAAGGAAGAGTCTCCCTTCTGTTCACTAGCCAACCTAGACTTGACTCAACCACTCACTCAAAACAGTCAACTCATGCATCCAACTCAAGACATCAGAACAGAGACCGAGCAATCTAGGTCCTCACCGGGGTACAAGAGTATAAAGAATATGAAAATGAATCACTTACTCTCGACCAGTGGGGTCAGGACAATTTAATGTGAAAAATGCGCATGCTATTTCTCTCAATCCCTAACATCTCTTCACCATGATGGCAGCCTCTAAATGCTAGAGTTCACATATAGGATGTCATCACTAACTAATCAGGAGGTCTTAGACACAGGTTCAAATGACTGGCTAGGGTCTTGGACATGGGGAAAAGGCCTTTTAGGTGGTGGAAGTATTCATAGCAAAAGGTTCCACATTTCCAAACTCACACAATCACAGTCAAACAAACCGGTATTCCCTTTCTGCTATTCTGCAATACTCAACATCTCAAGAGCACAAGAGTGAAGGAGGCATAAACATCAGCATTTCCAAGCCAGACTGCTAAGAAACACTGCTTAATGGGCATTATTCAGATTTTTGGTAGTGGCTCTC